ACTACTACTACGACTACGACTACGACTACGACTACGACTACGACTACGACTACTACTACTACTACTACTACTACTACTACTACGACGACGACCACTCTACTACTGCTACTACTACTACTACTACTACTACTACTACTACTACTACTACTACTACTACTACTACTACTACTACTACTACCATTGCTACTACTACGACTACGACTAGTTGTAGCTTTCTTAGTCGTACGACTAGAAAAACATAGTCTTCTCATCACAGATACTGTTAGTGTTCCTGCTAGGCGGTGCACTTTGCCTGTGCCAAACGCTGCACCTTGCCGCTTCGGCGGCCCCGCTTGCCATGGCGCTGCGCGGCTCAGGCCCGGCCGCTGGCATTGCGGACGTCAGCGCATTGTGTGCGGCTGCTGCCCGTCTTCACGCGTTGCCGATGCAGGACAGGTTTTCTCCCTGCAATTCACCAGCTTCTATTCGGTCATGGGCGGCCAGTTCGTTTGGAGGCCGCACCTCAAGCTTCACGGGTGCCTGGTCGTGGATTGGACTACCACCCTGGGCCTCCTCTGCATCATCTGGTGGCACAACGTTCCTCATCGCCTTCGTGGTGTCCTTCCTCCTCCTGGGCGTCGACCTGGTCACGTGGCGCGTCCTCCCCTGCAGTACTTGAAACTGGTGTTCGCGGAGCGCCTTTGACGGCAACACCACTGCCTTCGCCTTCGCCACACCACTGCCTTCGCCCTCGGTTCCTGTCCAAGGCGTACCTTTTCCTGCACATCCACTTCGGCACCGCCTGTTCCCCGGGCCCCGCCCGCTCCTGGCCGCCTGAGGCCCCGCCTTCCTGTGCCCTGTTTCCCTAATTAAAGCTGTGCGTAGCCCGCCTAGCTGTTAGCGGAAGAGGTTTGCTCTCGCCCCGCAGATAAAAGAAAGTGTGTGTGTGTTCTCTTTCCGATATTATTTTTGGCACTACGAATAAAACTACCGTTCCTTTTCTGATTGTGGCTAAGTTCCCCTACCATTCATATTACTGTTCCTCCTCCTCCTCTTCCTCCTCCTTCTCATCATCACCATCATCACCCTCCTCGTTCTTTGAAAGATGATACTAGAACCATCGCGCGCGCTTCCCGCGCGCGCGCTTTGGCCGTGGGTAGATCAGGGGGGGCCATAGATGGGGGGTGAGTCGCATCGCGCAATCGGGCGCCGTCGGTCTCGCTGTGGCTACGGCGGAACGCGGGCACCCCGAGCTGCTGCCTCGGTTGTGCCCTGCCTGTTCCGCGCCGACCCGCTCCGCGAACCCGCGCGTCCTGCGGCCCAAAACCACGCGCGCACCATTGCGAAAAGATCTTGCACGACACCGCCACGAAGCGCACTGCAAACCACCAAAGCGAAGTGGGGAAGCATCTTCGAGACAAAACCTTCGGAAGCCCGCGTGGATGTTTTCATTGAAGCTGGACTCTTTTCTTCGCGTCCTGAAATCCATCGCGGCGTGCACATCGACCCCATTCGCCTGTTGCGCGTGGTGAAAACTAACAACGACGACACGGATCAGACCTTGTCTTGCCAATTACGTGGGGTTTCCTGTTGGGCTTCCGCGATCCCAGGGCTGAAAATGTCCGTTCGGCCTCCGCCTGGACCGCTGGGCTCTTGGGGGCATTTTTACGGCCTCCTGGGAGCTGCTCGGGGCCGCTTGGGGGCATCTTGGGGGCCTATTGGGCATAATTGGGGGCCTCTTGGAGCCTCCTCGGAGCATCCTGGACTGCTTCTTGAAGTCGTCATGGGACCTTCTTGGCATGTTTTCGGGGACCTCTTAGAGAGAGGTTTTGAAGCCTTTTGCATGCCGTCTTGGGACCTCCTGCAATCTCTTTGAGGCCTCTTGGGGGGCCTCTCAGAGCCTCTTGAGGGCCTCTGAGGCCTCTCGGGGGCTTCGTGGGGGCCTCTGGGGGCCTCTTGGGGGCATCTTGGGGCGGAGAGCTTGATTTGTCAGTTCGCGTTCCCTCTCTTGGGCCCCTCTTGGGGCCTTCTTGGGGCCCTCTTGCGCCCTCTTGGGCGGATCTGGGGCCGTTTCCGGGCTCTCTTGGGCCGTCTTGGGGCCCTCTTGGAGGCCTCTTGGGCCGTCTTGGACCAGTTTGGGGAGCCTCTTGGGCGGTGCTTTAGCGCCGGAAACACGAAAGAGCGAGCATGTGTTGCCCTCTCGGGGCGCACTCGGGCGGCATCTTAAAGACCAATTTGGGCGTCTTGGGGGCATCCGGGGCAGTTTAAACTGCGTCGTGCGGCCTCTTGGGGGCCTCTTGGGGCCTCTTGGGGGTTTCCTGGTGGCCTCCTGGGGCCTCTTGGGGGCATCTTGGGGCGGAGAGCTCGATTTTTCAGTTCGCGTTCCCTCTCTTGGGCCCCTCTTGGGGCCTTCCTGGGACCCTCTTGCGCCGTCTTGGGCGGCTCTGGGGCCGTCTTGGGGCTCTCTTGGGCCGTCTTGGGGCCCTCTTGGGAACCTCTTGGGCCGTCTTGGAGCGCTTTGGGGAGCCTCTTGGGCGGTGCTTCAGCGCCGAAAACACGAAGCAGCGAGAACGCAAAGAACAAAAAAAAAAAAAAAAATGTTGCCTTCTTGGGGCGCTCTTGGGCGGCATCTTACAAGCCTCTTGGGACGTTTTGGGGGCCTCCTGGGCAATTTAAAACGCATCGTGCGTCGACAAAGACCCCTGGACGGCGTCTTGGGGGTGTCTCGAGACCGTCTGGGGCCGCCAGGATTGCTGTCTGAGGGCTCCCCGGGGCGATTTTAAGCCTCCCAGAGGCGGGCCCGGGCCCTGGTGCCCACATTTGCTGTCGAGATTCTGGCCATGGGCCCCAGGGCCCGGTGCGCCGTTATGTATACAACGATGCTACCTACGATCGGAGCAAAGGAGCGCGACTTCAACAGAAGCCACAAATCGAAACGTCAGAGCTCAAGAAAAGCTTGGGTAATGGATGCTGGAGCTGTACTGGTAGCCGAGAAAACTGCCTACCCGGATGTCCAGAATCAGACGCTGGGGCGATGAGGCTAATTGGCCTCAGGTCTTGGTATCAATTAACACCTCCTCTCGGCAACGTGGTGCCGAAATGCCAGGGTACTTCTGCCGCATGCCCAATCACTGGACCACCGTGCACATAATAAAAATGCGGTGTTGCCCAGCGGCGCACTTGAAAAGAGCTACCGCGGAAAAGGAAAAAGTAACAATAAGCGGCATTGGAAAAGAAAAAAGGGAAGGACTGAAGGACAAGGACACGAAGGTCAGGAAGTGATGGATAATGATACCAATCTTGTTCAGCCGCTCGTGCCATCAGCGCCCATGTCTGCCATCTTCGGCTCATGGTTGACGAGGTCAGGGTTCAAACTCCCGCGGAGTGGTGCCGAGGAGAGGTGCAGCGTAGCTCTTGCCGTCCGCCCCCCGCCCCACTGTCCTCGGATTGACGCCCCATCTCTCAGGATGCGAGACCAGATCACGGACCCAGGAGCGGCCATGTTCTCGGCCCCCAAGGCAGCCCAGGAGCGCCCCGAGAGAGCCCCAGACGGCCGCCCAAATGAAGTCGCAAAGAAGGCCAAATATGCACCAAGACAAGCCCACGAGGACCCAGGAGGCGGCAAGATGCTTACAAAAGCCCCGAGGAGGGCCCAACGTTCGGAGCGGGAGGCAAAGGTGACTCGCCAAAAGCGCATTCGAGCATACACCTGAATGCATAAACACATTAATGTACACACGCGTGTGAACGCACTCACATACACACACACACTCACTCACGCACAAACCAAAACATGTGGATGCTTGTTTCCACGCCGAAACACCATACCCGAATATCTGAAGCCAAAGACACATGCCGGCAACACAAGCTTGGCATTGCCTGGATGTGCGAGGAAGATAGAGGGAGGGGCGAATGGGGCAGATGGACAGAAATATATTCATAAATACAAGAAATAAACCAGGAAAGAGGAAGAGAGCGAGAAAGAGAAAGCGAGAGAAACAACTTTTCCTGACGAAAGATCCAACCATGCGCAATTGTGAGTGCCGCGTTGTGGGTACCTCTTTCGGTGGAGTTCCCTATGAGGCAACGAACCGTGCGAGGGGTGTGCCAAAATGGGCGTCGGGCGCATGCGGCCTGTGCCGCAGGGGCCTTCGGTGGAGCTACCCATGGGGCCACGAACCGTGAGAGGGATGATGGGGGCGGCGGGCGCATGCGGCCTGCGCCACTGGAGCTTTCGGTGGACCTCCCGATGGGGCAACGAACCTTGCGTCGGGCGCATGCGGCCTGTGCCACTGGGGCCTTCGGTGGAGCTCCCTATGGGGCCACGATCCTCTTGAGGGGTCTGCCAACATGGGCGTCGGGCGCATGCGGCCTGTGCCACTGGGACCTTCGGTGGAGCTCAATATGGGGCCAGGAACCGTGTGATGGGTGTGCCAAACTGGGCGTCGGGCGCATGCGGCCTGTGCCGCAGGGGCCTTCGGTGGAGCTCCCTGTGGGGCCACGAACCGTGTGTGTCAAAAAATGGGCGTCGGGCGCGACAGAGTCGGAAGAATTCGGGGACAACGACGGTGAGTCGTCTGCACCGGCAGAACACCAGCGCCACGAGCGCTCTCAGGGGGGGAAGAGGGAGAGGGCCGAGAGGAACACAAAGAAACGCACGCAAAACTGCAGTACAGCGAAACAACTGAACACCCAGAAGAATGCAAGAGGCGGAGACACAGATAAGGGGAGGCAGGGAGACGAGACGGAGGTGAGGCAAACGGGGATCCACGGACGCGCTTTAATGGCACGTGTGTACCTTATGTGCCTAATGCCCATGTGCATTCGAATGGCCGGGGGCAGACAGCGCGGCGCGTCCCGCGGCTTCGGGCCCAGCACGCGCGTCACGAGCCCCGCGCCCTTCGTGGGACCCGGGCCCAGCACGCGGGTGTAGAGACCAGAATCCTCCGCGCGGTTCTCCCTAAGGTAGGCAGGTAAAGGAGGGAGAGGGCGGAGGGAGGGGGTGGAGGGAGGGCCTGGTGGAAGGAGGCAGCATGGAGCGAGGGATCTAGCGATAGACAAAGGAGGGTAACGCGGGCAGCAAATTATCCTGGCGAAAGACCCAACCATATGCAATTGTGAATACCGCAATTGTGAATATCTTCTTCGGTAGCGCTCCCTATGGGGCCACGAAACGTGTGAGGGGTGTGCCGAAATGGGTGCGCGTGACGCACGCGGGCGGCAGCACTGGGGCCTTCGGCGGAGCTCCCTATGGGGCCACGAAACGTGTGAGGGGTGTGCCGAGATGCGTGTGCGGGACGCATGCGGGCACACCCACTGGGACCTTCGGCGGAGCTCCCTATGGGGCCACGAAACGTGCGAGGGGTGTGCCGAAATGGGTGTGCGGGACGCATGCGGGCACACCCACTGGGGCCTTCGGTGGAGCTCCCTATGGGGCCACGAGACGTGTCAGGGGTCACGAAACGCGTGAGGGACGCATGCGGGCACACCCACTGGGGCCTTCGGTGGAGCTCCCTATGGGGCCACGAAACGTGTGAAGAGCATGCCGAAATGCGTGTACGGGACGCATGCGGGCATACCCGCTGGGACCTTTGGCGGAGCTCCCTATGGGGCCACGAAACGCGTGAGGGGTGTGCCGAAATGGGTGTGCGGGACGCATGCGGGCGGCAGCACTGGGGCCTTCGGTGGAGCTCCATATGGGGCCACGAAGCGTGTGAGGGGTGTGCCGAAATGAATGTGCGGGACGCATGCGGGCACACCCAACGGGACCTTCGGTGGAGCTCCCTTTGGGGCCACGAAACGTGTGAGGGGTGTGCCGAATTGGGTGTGCGTGACGCATGCGGGCGGCAGCACTGGGGCCTTCGGCGGAGCTCCCTATGGGGCCACGAAACGTGTGAGGGGTGTGCCGACTTGGGTGTGGGTGACGCATGCGGGCGGCAGCACTGGGGCCTTCGGCGGAGCTCCCATGGGGCCACGAAACGTGTGAGGGGTGTGCCGAATTGGGTGTGGGTGACGCATGCGGGCGGCAGCACTGGGGCCTTCGGCGGAGCTCCCTATGGGGCCACGAGACGTGTGCGGGGTGTGCCGAATTGGGTGTGCGTGACGCACGCGGGCGGCAGCACTGGGGCCTTCGGCGGAGCTCCTATGGGGCCACGAAACGTGTGAGGGGTGTGCCGAATTGGGTGTGGGTGACGCATGCGGGCGGCAGCATTGGGGCCTTCGGCGGACCTCCCTATGGGGCCACGAAACGTGTGAGGGGTGTGCCGAATTGGGTGCGCATGACGCACGCGGGCGGCAGCACTGGGGCCTTCGGCGGAGCTCCTTATGGGGCCACGGAACTTTTGAGGGGTGTGCCGAATTGGGTGTGCGTGACGCATGCGGGCGGCAGCACTGGGGCCTTCGGTAGAGCTCCCTATGGGATCACGAAACGTGTGAGGGGTGTGCCGAATTGAGTGTGGGCGGCGCATGCGGGCGGCAGCACTGGGGCCTTCGGCGGAGCTCCTATGGGGTCACGAAACGTATGAGGTGTGTGCAGAATTGGGTGTGCGTGACGCACGCGGGCGGCAGCACTGGGGCCTTCGGCGGAGCTCCCTATGGGGCCACGAAACGTGTGAGGGGTGTGCCGAATTGGGTGCGCGTGGCGCATGCGGGCGGCAGCACTGGGGCCTTCGGCGGAGCTCCTAGGGGGGCACGAAACGAGTGAGGGGTGTGCCGAATTGGTGGGTGACGCATGCGGGCGGCAGCACTGGGGCCTTCGGCGGAGCTCCTATGGGGCCACGAAACGTGTGAGGGGTGTGCCGAATTGGGTGTGGGTGACGCATGCGGGCGGCAGCACTGGGGCCTTCGGCGGAGCTCCCTATGGGGCCACGAAACGTGTGAGGGGTGTGCCGAATTGGGTGTGCGTGACGCATGCGGGCGGCAGCACTGGGGCCTTCGGCGGAGCTCCCTATGGGGCCACGAAACGTGTGAGGGGTGTGCCGAATTGGGTGTGGGTGACGCATGCGGGCGGCAGCACTGGGGCCTTCGGCGGAGCTCCTATGGGCCGCGAAACGTGTGAGGGTGTGCCGACTTGGGTGTGGGTGACGCATGCGGGCGGCAGCACTGGGGCCTTCGGCGGAGCTCCTATGGGGCCACGAAACGTGTGAGGGGTGTGCCGAATTGGGTGTGGGTGACGCATGCGGGCGGCAGCATTGGGGCCTTCGGCGGACCTCCCTCTGGGGCCACGAAACGTGTGAGGGGTGTGCCGAATTGGGTGTGGGTGGCGCATGCGGGCGGCAGCGCTGGGGCTTTCGGCGGAGCTCCTATGGGGCTACGAAACGCTGTACTGGGTGGGTGAAACGCAGGGAAGAGGGGGAGGAGGGAGGAGGAGGGCGAGGAGGAGGAGAGGAGAGGAGAGGAGAGGAGGAGAGGAGGAAGGAGGCGGGAACGCGGGGCACCGTCTCTTCAAAACGAGGAACCAACACCACAGGATGGTTGGGAAAAAGACTGGAGATGGAGGCAAGCAGGCTGTCCGCACGAGCAACACACAAAAAAACATCGACAAACATGAGGACGCAAAACATGGAATAGTGAGTGAGAGAAGAAACCATGAGGCCCACAAGAGGACCCGAAGAAAGCCCAAGGGGGCCCCAAGACGGCCGCAGGGGCCCTCCAGACGGCCCAAGCGAGCCATAAGAGGATCTCAAGAGGGGCCCAATGAGGAGGAATACGAACTGACATTTTGAGCCGATCCCCCCAAGATGGCCTCAGGAGCCCCCCAGAAGCTCCCGAGGCGACCACAGGAGGCCCCAAGAGGCCTCCCACAAGCTTCCGAGAAGCCCCAAAGAGGCCCCCAAGAAGCCCCTGAAGGCCCCCCAGATGCCCCCATGAGCGCTCCAACATGGCCCTGAGAGGCATCCCAAGAACCCCTCTTATGCATCCAAGAAGCTCCTGACCCACTAGATAACTTCCACGATCGTCGCAAGCACTCACTCCTTCTGAGGGTCGGCGGAATGGCGTAATCCACTTGAATAAAAACGATCAAACAAAACGAGGAGCAGTGATCAAGAAAGAGGATGGCAAAAAGAAGACGAATCTTGACGGAGATGAGAAGCGCTGGCTACGGTCCCTCCTGGCACCCATCGGAGTGTCTGGCTGAGGGTAAATCACTTCTGGCCTCCCCTCACCCCGCTTGTTGCAGATAGCCTCACGCACTACCACCAGTCCCTCCCAGGCAGCCTGGAAGGCATGCAAAGAGCATTGGAGACCTTTACCTGTGGTATGATTACTCTTCTCAGATCTTCTATCTTCCGAGATGCCTCGGGAAAAGAAAAGTCAAGACCAATAAAGAAAGGGTGTTGAAAGAAATCGGCACGACATAACATATATATATATATATATATATGTATATAGACATATACATGTGTCTACACATGTATGTATGTATATACAACAATCGGGTGAGTGAGGAAAACGTATGGAACAACGAGGCCAAGGGGAAAACAGAGACACTGCATTTGCTAAGGATACATATGGAAGAAGAAGCGGTGATGGTGAGCAACGACAAAATTCGCCAGCCCAACGGGCAGCCAAGGGCGTGCTAAGATCTCCGGTGACTGGTTATCAATATTCTAGTTCGCGCGCGCGGGGCCACACCTGGGGGTCCCCAGACGAAAAGTACCCCCGCAAATCCCGACAAGGTCACGGCAGTATCCCTGGCAGGTCCCGGCCAGGTCCCGGCCAGGTCCCAGCAGGCTCCCAAGAGCCTTCAAGGAGCGCTTCAAGTGACCTCCAAGAGAGCTCAACATGGCCCGAGACGGCCCACGAACGAACCAAGACGCCAACGATGGCTTCCAGACAGCTTAAAGCGCCTGCAAGACGCCCCAAGAGGCCTCCAAGAGACCTGCCAAGACAACCCACAGAGGCAGACATTAGTGATTTTCCTATAGTGTTTGAAGGTTTTTGGCATTGTCGCCTTGGGAGCTTACAGGCGCTCCAAGACAGCCCAGAGGCTTCCAGGATCGCCCCGGCATGGCATGGCCCAAGAGGCCTCCAACAGCGCCTCCAATAGCACTCGAGGAGCACCCACAACGGCCTCAGAGGGCCCCTAGACAGCCCCAGAGGCTTCCAAAATGACCGAAGAAGCTCCCAAGACGGCCCCAATAGCGGGCCCAGACGAAGGACCCGAACGGACATGTTGAGCTCTAGACGCCGAAAGGTTCCCTGGAAGCCCGAAGAGGCCCCTAAGAAGCCCCCAAAGAGGCCCAGATCCCCAAGAGGCCCGAAAAGACCTTCCAGAGGGTCCAGAGTCAGAAATTAGTGATTTCCCCTAGGTTTTTGAAGGTTTTGGGGCGTTCTCGCCGCGGGAGCTTTCCGGCGCTCCCAGACGACCCAAGAGGCTTCCAGGATCGCCCCACCACGGCCCAAGAGGTTTCCAAGAGCGCCCACAACGGTCCCAGAGGGCCCCTACACAGCCCCAGAGGCTTCAAGATGGCCGAACAGGCTCCCAAGACAGCTCCAAGAACGGGCCCAGACGAGGGACCCGCGAGGACATGTCGAGCTCTAGGCGCAGAGACGTAACCTGGAGGCTCCAAGAGGCCCCCCAAGAAGCTCCCAAGAGGCCCCCGAAAGGCCCCAAGAGACCCCCAAGAGGCCCCAAAAGACCTCCCCATAAGGCCCACAGAGGCAGAAATGAGCGGTATTCCTTCGATGATTCATAAGATTTTGCTGTTCTCGCCCAGAGGGCTTACTGGCGCTCCAGGGCGGCCCTAGAAGCTTTCAGGATCGCTCCAACACGGCCCAATGGCCCTCCAAGAGCGCCCACAACGGCCCCAGAGGGCCCTCCTCAGCTCCAGAGGCTTACAAGATGGCCGAAGAAGCTCCCAAGACGGCCCCAAGAGCGGGCCCAGACGAGGGGCCCGAGAGGACATGTCGAGCTCGAGGCGCAGAGACGAAACCTGGAGGCTCCAAGAGGCCCCCCAAGAAGCTCCCAAGGGGCCCCCGAGAGGCCCCAAGAGACCCCTAAGAGGACCTCTAGAGGCCCCCGCCACGCCCCAGGAGGCTCAGAAATACCGCCAAGAGGCCCCCGAGAGTCCGTCAATCGTCTCACTCACCATTCTTCCTTTCTTCCCTCGCCTCATTCTCCCCCCTCTGCGTCAACGACTCTCAATCCTCGATCGAAAAGCGCTCCGCCAAGAGGCCCCCGAGAGGCCTCCTATCGTCTCAAAAACTCGTTTTTCTTTCTTCCCTCTCCTCCTTCTCTCCCCTCTGCGTCAACGACCCTTGCTCCTTGGACGAAAGGCGCCACAATCAATCACCACGAAAGGAATCGAAAGGCGTCTTCATCCTTACCCTCACATCGTCCTCATCCTCCTCCAAACCCTCCTCTTCCTCCTCCTCCTCCTCCTCCTCCTCCTCCTCTTCTTCTCTTCCCCTTTGCCCCCTCCTCCCCCTCTCCCCTCTGCTTCAACGAACCTCACCCCCTCACCCCATCTGCTTCAACGAACCTCCATTCTCCAACGAAGATACAATCAATCATCAAGACGATACGAAGAGGGTCTCCCAAGAGCCCAGAAAGAGGCCCTGAGGCCTTCCTGAGGCCCCCGAGAGGCCCTCAAAGGCACGAGGAGAACACCACCACGCAGCCACAGTGATGCGAAATGGGCCGGCGGAATGAGCGAAGCGATTCAATAAGAAAGGAGAAAAGCGTGGACGTTCCTCTGTCGGACTTGGGCCCAGCACTCGCGTCAGGAAGCCCGAATCCTCGGTCGGCTTGGCCCCGAACACTCTGGTGAGAAGGCCCGGCTCGTCCTCGTCCTCCGCCTCCGTCTCATCCATGTTCTGCCTCTCTGAATCCTTGACGGCCTTCGGCGGCACCAGCGATGGCAATGGTACTGGTGGCGGCAGCGGCGACGGCGACGGTGGCCAGCTGAGGGCGCAGCGTAAGCGCCCTGGCCCTACGTATACAGCGCGACAGCCTTACCTCATGGACCACTCTTGGGGTGACTAGGATTGGGGGGATTCGTGCAGATGTCGGTTGGTATTGGATCCGCATCGGATTAACATCCATCACTCAAACGCTTGAAACTGTTCGAGCCCGTCTCACTCCTTTGATTTGTCTAACTCTTCCAGCTCTTCTCACAACTCTCGTAACACTTCTAAATCATGTGGATGCGCGCCGGTGCTGACGTCTTGTTGGTGCAGGTCAAGCAGAACAAAAGAACTTGGTGCAGCACTAGCAGCCACTGGGCTGCACAAGCAGAGCCTTACCAACACAAGCAGAAGAACAGCGGTACGGTACCATGGTTGTCCCAGCGTGAGACACAGGGTTGTCCCATGGTGTCTTCGCGGGGCTGCTCGTGCTTGTTACTACAGGATACTACACATATACTGCAAGCTCTCCATCTACGAACGGGCTACACAACGACCTGTGCAACTACCCTTCTCTCCACCGTCTGACTACCTGGCTTTCGATCTGACTTCCTATCCCACGGCAAAGCCACATAGCACCACATAACAACCCATGGGACAACCCACGGAACAACAACGAGGGGTCGATTTCACTTCGATGTGAAGTTCAGTCTGCAGCTTGGCTCCACTTCAAATTGCAGATCGCTTGCATCTGGATTCGCATGCATATGAACATTTCGATGTACGGGTGGAGTGCCATTGGACTCGCGTTTTGATCGCAATAAAGTTACCTATAGTTTCGCATTTCGATATGTGTCACGATTTGATGTTTGACGTGCATACAAATATCTACATATACATAGACATACTAGAACCATCGCGAGCGCTTCGAGCGCGCTCAGGTTCTAGCAGGCCCCAGGCCTTGACGAGTTCACTGCTCCACTGAAGTAATGGACCACAATCCACGCGTGTCAACCCGCATTCCGGAAGGCTTTCGGGAAAGATGGTTCCGTACCGGGGCGGAGGCCAGATGAATCGGGTTCCCAGAAGGCCTTCTGGGAACATGGGTTTGGGGGGCGTCTTGGGGAGCCTGTTGGGGCGTGCCGTCGTCGTCGTCGTCGTCGTAATGTCGTCGTCGCCTCTTGGGGCGCGCCGTCGTCGTCGTCGTCGTCGTCGTCGTCGTCGTCGTCGTCGTCGTCGTCGTCGTCGTCGTCGTCGTCGTCGTCGTCGTCGTCGTCGTCGTCGTCGTCGTCGTCGTCGTCGTCGTCGTCGTCGTCGTCGTCGTCGTCGTCGTCGTCGTCGTCGTCGTCGTCGTCGTCGTCGTCGTCGTCGTCGTCGTCGTCGTCGTCGTCGTCGTCGTCGTCGTCGTCGTCGTCGTCGTCGTCGTCGTCGTCGTCGTCGTCGTCGTCGTCGTCGTCGTCGTCGTCGTCGTCGTCGTCGTCGTCGTCGTCGTCGTCGTTTCGTCGTCTTCGTCGTTGTCGTCGTCGGTTCAAGAGGGCACTTGGGGCAACTTTGTGCGAAACGATCCGCCGAGGGCCGCGAGAAGGCAAACAGTCATGTTCCCAGTCAACTTCCCAGACAGCTCTCCGGTAGCGTGATGGTACTTCGGAGCCTCCAGAGACACTCGGGCCCATGATGAATCATGTCCCTGGAAGGCTTTGTGAAAACATGATTTCTTGGGGTGTGTTGGGGGGCATCTTGGGCGTTCCGTGGGGGCCCCTTGGGGGCCTCAAGGAACTCTCGGGCCCATGATGAACCATGTCCCCAGAAGGCTTTCTGGGGACATGATTTCTTGGGGTGCGTTGGGGGGCCTCCTGTGCGTTCCCTGGGAGCCCCTTGCGGGCCTCTTGAGGCTGGGGGCCTCTTGGGCGCCTCACGGTGCTTCGTAGGAGCCTCTTGATTGCCTCCGGGGGCCTACTGGGGGCCCCCAGGGCCAGAGACCTCGAAACATCGGTTGGCGGTCCCCCTCTGGGCGCCCTCTTGGGGCGCTCTTGGGGCACAGCTGGGTTGTCTGAGGAGCCTCCTGGGCCGCCTTGGGGCCCTCTTCGTGGCTTCGTGGGCCGTCTTGGAGCGATCTGAAGGGCCTCCGAGGCCGTGAGGGAGCGCTGGGAAGCGGGAAACGCGAGAACGCCAAAATCCTTGAAGAACCCTCGGCAAATGATTGAATTTTGCCGGCCAGGGCCCTCTTGGTGAGTCCGTCCTTGGACCCCCACCCACAAGCCCTGGCGGGCACCTGTGGGAGGAACAGGCACCGACACCCCCCCAGCCTACTCCGGTATGAATATATAATACATGTATATATATATATATATACACTAGAACCATCGCGCGCGCGCGCTTCGCGCGCGCTCGGGAACTAGCCCAGGCTGGGGGCGCGCTAGAAGATCTTGGACAGCCCTATCAAGCACAGGCGCGTGACATAGTCGTGCCTCCTGAGGGCCTCTTGGGAACCTATTGGGTCTTCGTGGGGGCATCTGAAGGGCTTCTGGGGGGTTATCCGTGCTTCCTCAATTGGCAGTTGGAGGCACCTCTTGGGTGCTTCTCGGGGGGGCATATTGGGGCTTCTTGGGGTCCCTTGGGGGCATCGTCAGGGTTATCCGGGCAGTCGGAAAGTGATGTTCTGCAGTCTGAAACAGCCAATTGGCCGTCTTGGCTGCGTGGAGGCCCGGCTTGAGGCCACATTGGGGCAAGCCAGAAGCCTCCCGGGGCCTCCTTGAAGCAATTTTGATGCATCGAAAGCACTGTTCGGCTATCTTTGGGCCCCGTGTACGTCTCCTGTGAGCCTCTTGGGGCCTGGTGGGGGGCTTTGGGGGGCCTCGTCGGACCACTTGGGGACTCTTGGGGCCTCCTGTGGGCCTCTTAGGGCGGAAAGCTCTGCTGTTGGGTTCGCGTTCCCTTTCTTGGGGCTCTCTTGGGGCCCTCTTGGGCCCTCTCAGGCCGTCTTGGGCGCCTCGGGCACCGTCTTGGGGCCCTCGTGGGCCGTCTTGGAGGCCTCTTCGGCTATCTTGGAGCGGCCGTGGGGGGCCACTTGGGCCGTCTTGGAGCGTCGGGATGCCAAAAGGCTGGAAACTCTAAAATCCATCAAAAGCCGATGGGAAAACAATGCTTCTTGGAACCTCTTCGGCCTTCTGGGGAGCTTCTCGGGGGGGCATCTTGGGTCCCATTTGGGGGCCTCTGGGGCTTCCTGAGGGCCTCTCGGGGTGGAAGGCTCGGACTTTCGGTTCGTCTTACCCCTCTTGGGCCCCCCTTGGGGCCGTATTGGTGCCCTCTCGGGCTGTCTTGGGCCCTGTTGAAGGCCCCTTGGGCTATCTTGGATTGGTCTTGAAGGCCTTTTGGACCGTCTTGGAGCGTCAGGACGCCAAAAGGCTGAAAACTCTGACATCAATCGAAAACCTATGGCAAGACATGGATTTTTGCCTCTTGGGGCCTTCGTGGGAGGCCTCTTGGATATTCTTTGGCCCCCTGGGGGACTTCTTGGGGCCTCTTGGAGCCTGTTACGGGCTTCTCGGGGCCTCCTGAGAGACTCTCGGGGTGGAAGACTGGGATTTTCGTGTCAACCCTTTTGGCTCCATCTGGGGCCCTCTCGGGCCGCCTTGGGCGCCTCTGGCGCCGTCTTGGGACCCCTGTGGGCTGTCTTGTGACCGTCTTCGAGGCCTCTGGGGATGCCTTGGAGCGGAAATTAAAGCCTCTTGGGCCGTCGTGGAGCGTCAGGAAACTCAAAGGCGAGAACTCGAAAATCTATCAAAAACCAAAGGAAAACAAATTAGTTGTGCCTCTTGGGGCTCCTTGGGAGCCATCTTGGAGACCTCCTGGGGCGTCTTGGAGGCCTCTTGGACAGCCAGGGACCAATTCTGGGGTGATCTCGGGCGGTCATCGGTCGTTTTCGTTGTCTGGAAACGCCAGGGCCGTCTTCGGGCGACTTTGCAAGGCCCCCAGCGCCACGGCAGGGCCCCTGGGCCCCCCGGGGCGAGGGCCCCGTCCCAGGCCCCGCCTCGTGCCCGCAGCAGGGCGTCCCTGGGCCGTCTCGGCGCCCTCGTGGGGGCCTGCTGGGGCGACAACGGGTGTCTGTAATCCATCAAAAACCTAAGGACAATCAATGATTTTCGTCCCTTTGGGCCGTGTTGGAAGCCTTGTGGGCCGTCCGGAGGCCATCTTGGGCGTGTTCGAACGATATGTCCTCGTTTCGGGGCCTCTTGGGAGCCTCTTGCGGCCCTTTTCGTATGTGTAGGGGCTTTCTTGGGCCATCTAGGGGCGGCCCTGGCTGTCTCGGCGCCCTCTTGGAAGCCTGTTTGGAAGATTTCTGGGTGTCCTGGACCGTCCTCCTTCAACGTCGGCGGCACTGGCCGTAAGATTTCCTGGGAACATGATTTGTTGGGGTGTCGTTGGGCGCCTCCGGAGGCTTCGGGGCCTGACGCGTTTCTGAGCGTGGCGGCAGGTAGCGCTGCTTGGGACTCTCGTTTTTCTATCCTGGCAGGCGTTCATAAACATGGTTTGGGGAGAGGGCGGCAACCCGAGAATTATGTTCCAGGGAAGCTTTCCGGGAGCATGATTTGTTCGGCTCTCTTAATTTTGGGGCTCTGGGGGCTTACCAAGGGGCCCTTTTTGGCCTTGTCGGCAAGCCTACTGCAAACATGGTTGGGGCGGTGGGCGGAAGCCCAAGGAATCATGTTCCTGGAAAGCTCTGGGAAATACGATTTACCGAGGTCTCTTGGGGGCCCGCAAGGGGCCTCCCTGGGGGGGCCCTTGGGGGCTTATTGGGGCTTCCGGGGGGCCTCTAGGGAGCCTCACGGGGCTTCTTGGGAGCCTCTTGATGGCCTCCAGGGGCGTCCTAGGAGCCTCTCAGGCCGGAGACCTTGAAATGTCGCGCTCTTCGGGCCCACTTGGGTCGCTCGAGGCTCTTGGGGCTCTCTTGGGGCGCTCTCGAGGCCCTCTTGAATTATCTGGGGAGCCTCCAA